ATCAGGCATGGAAAGATAAAATGAGATGACACAAAAATGCACAATATGCTTAAAAAGAAGACAAAAGGGTAAAGCATTAGAGGTATTTACAAAGAGTCTGCTGTGTTTTAGGCTGTTCAAGGAGACGTCTTGAAGCAGGTAGTATCTACAATAGATGTGCCTGGAAGATGGGTTAGAATTTGTGGAACCTTTGAGAATGTTTACCCTTTGTAATCACAACCACATATTCATGTAACCTTACAGTGTAAAAGATTTGGCATTTATCTGGCTTATCCTGATACCTAATACTGAAACTATTTCTAAGACAACATGAGCAAAAAAGTTGAGACAGTGATTGTTCAAAATTTTATCTTCCATGAAGCTGCAGCTGCCATCTCCATAATTCTACTCCTTGCTGACTGGAGCAAAACAACACTAATCTGTTCTCCCTTCCTGTGGCAAGCCTTTAATATATTTGTAGTTGGCAAGCCCTTAAAATATTTGTGCCTTTAGTCTTTTTTTCTATTAAATCTTTAAACTTCTCTAGGTATTCAGTCAAGATGATATTGATTAATGCTTATCTAATTTGTCCAAATTATGTGTCATTTTTGTCATCTCAAATTGATACGCTTCACAGGAATGCAGATTTGAGTGAGATTCTTAACTTTCTGGGCTCAAAACACTACAATTCTATTTTCGGTGCACTTTCAGTCTCTGTGTTACTACTTCTGGTTACTACTTCTGGCTTTTAACATTTATTTCTCCCACATAATAATTAGTATTGTTTAGAAGTTGTTTAATCATTGTGCCTGGAATGCGTTTTGAAAGCCTGCCTGTAGAACAAAGGCCACTTATCTATAGAACAAAGACTACCTGCATTGCTACGGTTATTTTCTTCCTAATTTTTTTCTTAAGCCACTTGTTATCTGTGGATGTTGACCCATAGAATTCTTGCTTACAAAACTAATACCAACACCATAATATAGCAACCATCCTTGGTACTTTGTTTCTCACTTTTATTAACTGGGAAAATAAAAATTAATAGCTCATGTAAGTTAATAAGCCAATACTGACCTCTGGTGTGTAATAATGAAATTGCTTGCTGGATGAAGTAGTGGACACTTGGGGGAAAGTTTTCTATTTTAATGTGGGGACATCTTTTTCCAAGCAAAGAAGTTTCATAAAAAAATAGTTACCAATGTGGACATTGGGAAATGTAAAACCAACTGGAGGGAACTCCTCTGTTATTTCCTTGTGTGGATAAGAAAGAGGAAAGGCCGGCACCACAGCTCAATAGGCTAATCCTCCACCTGCGGTGCTGGCACCCCGGGTTCTAGTCCTGATTGGGGCGCCGGATTCTGTCCCGGTTGCTCCTCGTCCAGTCCAGCTCTCTGCTGTGGCCCGGGGAGGCAGGGGAGGATGGCCCAAGAGCTTGGGCCCTGCACCCGCATGGGAGACCAGGAGGAGGCACCTGCTCCTGGCTTTGGATCAGCGCGGTGCCCCGGTTGCAGTGCGCCAGCCGCAGCGGCCACTGGGGGGTGAACCAGTGGAAAAGGAGGGCCTTTCTCTCTCTCTCTCTCTCACTGTTCACTCTGCCTGTCAAGGAAAAAACAAACAAACAAAAAAACACCACCAGCAGAGCAGCCCGTCAGTGATGTTTTCACCCAGCTGAGTCAGCTGTTAAGCTACTGTAAATGATGGATTGAGAAAAGACCTGCTCTCTGTCACTCCTCACTCCACTCCACATGAACTAGATTTAAAAAGTGTGTTGTGAACTTCTCCGCGTACCCTCCTCAGGAGTTATATATGTATTCATTGCCTGCTACTTCCCAGAAGGCCTCTCTACTTATTTAGAAACAAACTCCCAAATCTCCTTTTTTGAGTCTTCTTTGGTGTTCTTCATTATCCTGTAAAGTTATCCTTTATGCCTCGGGCATACTTCCTCTATAATTCAAAAATCTAACATATGTTAGAGCGGTTCTTATTTTAGGTTCCTCATCCTGGTTCCTATTTTCAGTATGTGCCCTTCCCTCACACTCTAGACTCAAGCACAGTTATCTAACTAGTAGTAGTACCCTCAGCTTGTCTCTTAGTAGAGCTAATGTGGATTGCATAGCTGGGGTTGCAGGTGAGTCAATCATTTTGTAGATGAGGTGTATATCATGCAGATTGAGGCACCAATAGCCACTAGTGACTCCTTTGCTGGTCTACTGCCCTCTGTTAGCAGTGAAGTTCCTAGGACTTTAGAAACTCCCTTGCTGGGAGGTATCAATGGGCCAGCTGTCAGTGGACCCAGGTTTGAATTTAATTGATAGTTCTTCCACTATCATGCAACTCAGTCTAACTCCTGACTGCTAGACTTCTATTTCCTAATTTGTAAAAGAGGTGACTAGGCTATAATCTCTAACATCCTCTGTGGGACCTGTTGTGTAATTCTACAACTCTACAAATGTGCATTTAGGGAACCATTTAGAATGCTGATCTTCATTTCCTGTAGTACTCTTTCAGTTCCTTTTTCTCCTATCTTGTAGTTTGTTTAGGTGTTGTTATTGTGTACTTCCCATGTGTATTGAACCATTGTACTGACCACACTCTCCTGGATATGGTTGCCTGTCTCTTTTACTTCATCTGCCAAGCTCTTACAAGCTAACTATTGAATAAGTGAAAAAAAGAATGAATATCTCCTTTTCACCCTGTAAGTCTGCATCTGCCACTTCCTTAGAAGCTCCTGGGCACTGAAAGCATTGGAGTGACTTTCAACCTTTTGTCCTGATTCCACAAACCAGTTACTAGGAAAGAACTGTTGCCTTTCAAAAATTCTCAAAGATTAGAAATGGCTGTAGTTACTGCTGGAAGAAAATGGAGAATGATGGGTTGTTAGTTGGAACAGAATCCCTCTACTTAATGAAGTGAAAATTTTTATTCCCAAAGTGAAGCAGACTAAGTGGAGCAGGACAAGAGCAGAGACTGAGTGAAGGAGGAGAGTGGAGTTATTGGAATTGTTGGAGGTTCAGTATGATGGGAAGTGAAGGCCAAGAGAAAGTCCCAAACTCTCAGAGTGACCACAGAAAAATTTAAAACTAGTCATTAAATTTAGTGTGAAAAAGACTTGTTGCCAAGTCAGCTCTGAATTTCCCACTTTCAGTGAACTCATCTATATGCATGTATGTTTCATACAGGTAGGTTTCTACAACAATGAAGACATACATTTTATATATGGGCCGGTTCTCAATCTTCAGGGCACATTAGAATTATGTGGGGGAGCTTTTAAAGTTTGGATGCTGATGTTACACATCAGAATGATTATAGAAGAATCTCTGAGAGTGTGATCTGGAATCAGTATTTCTTACAAGATTCCAAGTGAATCCAGTATGTAGCTAGAATAATGAACCATGGCCCAGGTATCCAGAAGAGAGTTGGCAAGCATCGCATCACAGCATTGTTTGGAGTGAGGTGAATTGTTATGCAACAGGAGATAATGGCTAGCATAATCAACATGAGCTCACTGAAAAGCTACTCAGTAAAACGTATGCTTTATTAATCAACTATTGTCATTATTGGCAAAGACCATTTACATTTTATAAATCTCTATTCTCCACCTTCTATTTTTCAGAGATAGTTTGTGCCCAACATAAAAAATTTCTTCACGTTCTACTGTCAAATCTGTGAATGTGTTTTCTTCTGAATTCTTTCTCACTCGTGCCTTTCCACCAACATTTAACCTCGTAAAGCTATGCATCTCTTCAAAGAAAAGATGCAGAAACACAGAATATGTGCGTGTTGGAAATAAACAAGGAATTCTCTGAAACAATACATAAAGAGGACAGTTTGTTATAATGTAAAAATGATCAGATATACATGTATGTAGGTTTCCACAATGGTGATATAAAAGTCTGGGCAGATTTTTATATAATTTATGTTGTAAAGCAGAAGCAAGGATAACTTCTCATATCCTCAGCAAACCAGTGGTTAAATTTGATGAGAGTCACTTTGTAAAAGATTCTTGGGTTAGTTTTAGAGGAATTTTTTTATAAATCCAAGGTTCATGGGGGTGGCACTGTGGCTTAGCTGGTAATTTCCACCACCTTCAGTGTTGGCATCACAAACAGGTGCAGGTTCAACTCTCTGCTGCTCAACTTCCATACAGCTCCCTGCTAATGTGCTTGGAAAAGCAGCAGAAGATGGCCCAAGTGCTTGGGTCCCTGCACCCATGTGGGAGACCCAGATGAAGATCCTGGTTCCTGGTTTCATCCTGGCCCAATCCTGATGGTTGCAGCCATTTGGGGAGAAGACAAGTAGTTGGAAGATTTCTCTTTCTTTCTCTGCCTCTGCCTTGACTTCTGTAACTCTACCTTTTAAATAAATAAATGTTTTTGTAAAAAATTCCAAGAGCCAGAAAGGCCCCAATTTTGAAATGAATAATAAAAATTAAATCAAAAGACTTTTTACTGGACTAATTAAGATTTGAAGGAGGAGGGAGAATTTGTAGAAGTGGTTGAGGTAGCCCTTGTGTTGAGATCCCAGGTCCCGTATTGGAGTCCCTGGTTTGAGTCACAGCTGTTACATCTCAGATCCAGCTTTTTGTTAAAGTGCAACTAAGGAGGCAACAAGTAATATCTTAAGTACATGAGTCTCTGCTGTACACAAGGGAGACCTGAGTGGAATTCCCGGCTCTTGGTTTTAGCTTGATCCAGTTCTGGATACTGTGGGTATTTGAGGAGCAAACTAGCTGACAGATCACCACTCTGTCTCTCTGTTTTTCTGTATTTTGCCTTTAAAATAAGAAATGAAAATAAGAAATAAATACACTTTAATAGGTACAACTTTGGTGTATTTTATTTTTATGCAGAACTACATAGCTTTATAATTACAAACATCATATATTTAAATAATTACATTAGGAACATGGTGATTCTTCCCACCATGCCCACCTTCTCACCCACATTCCTACCCCCTTCCTCCTAACTCTCTTATTCCTATTCTTATTTTTTACTAAAATTTCTTTTTTTTTTTTTTGACAGGTAGAGTTACAGACAGCGAGAGAGAGAGAGAGAAAGGTCTTCCTTCCGTTGGTTCACTCCCCAAATGACCGCTATGGCCAGCGCTGTGCCGATCCGAAGCCAGGAGCCAGGTGCTTCCTCCGGGCCTCCCATGCAGGTACAGGGGCCAGAGAACCTGGGCCATCCTCCGCTGCCTTCCTGGGCCACAGCAGAGAGCTGGAATGGAAGAGGAACAACCAGGACTAGAACCCGGTGCCCATATGGGATGCCAGCGCCACAGGCGGAGGATTAACCAAGTGAGTCATGGCGCCGGCCCCTAAGATTTATTTTCAATTAACTTTTTAATACACATATGATTAACTCTATGTTAAGTGAAGAGTTCAACAAATATTATGAAGAAAAAAAAAAAACTATTCCTCAATGGTTAAGACAAGAGCTGTTCAAACTGTCATTGTTTCTCAAAGTGTCAATTTCACTTCTACAGATTGCCTCTTAGGTACTCTATTAGTTATCACAGGTCAGGGAGCACATATGGCTTATTTGTTCCTTTGGGACTGGCTTATTTCACTAAGTATAATGTTTTCTAATTTCATCAGTTTTTGTGCAAATGACAAGATTTCATTTTTTAACCACTCTGTAGTATTCCATGGTGTATAAATCCCATAATATCTTTATCCAGTCTTCAGTTGTTGGGCATTTGGGTGGATTCTATGTATTGGTTATTGTGAATTGAGCTGGAAAAAACATGAGGGTACAGACAACTCTTTCTTTTTTTAATATTTATTTTTATTTATTTATTTGAAAGTCAGAGTTATACAGAGAGATGAGAGGCAGAGAGAGAGAGAGAGAGAGAGAAAGTGAGAAGTCTTCCATCTGATGGTTCACTCCCTCCCTTTCAATTGCTTTGAATAGGTTGAGAAATATTGTAGTTAGCTCTTCTTTAAGTGTCTGGTAGAATTCAGTGGTGAAGCCATCTGGTCCTGGGCTTTTCTTTGTTGGGAAGGTCTTTAATACTGACTCAATTTCTGTCTTGGTTATTGGTCTGTTTAGATTTCTATGTCTTCATGGTTCAGTTTTGGTAGGTTGTATGTGTCCAGGAATCTATCCATTTCTTCTGAGTTTCCCAATTTTTTTGACATACTGCTCTTTGTAGTAATTTCTGATGATTCTTTTTATTACTGTGTTGTCTATTGTTAAATTTCCTTTTCCCGCTCTAATTTCATTTATTTGAGTCTTCTCTCTGCTATGTTTCATTAGTTGGACCAGTGGTGTGTCAATTTTGTTTATTTTTTTTTAAAAAAACAGCACTTTGTTTTACTGATCTTTTGTATCATTTTTATTTCAATTTTGTTTATTTCTTTTCTAATTTTAATGATTTTTTTTCTCCTATGAGTTTTGAGTTTGGTTTGCTGTTGTTTTTGTTGATCCTTGCAATGCATTGATAGGTCATTTACTTGGTACCTTTTCAATTTTTTGATGTAGGCACCAATTGCTCTAAACTTTCCTCTTAACACTTCCTTTACTGTATCCTATAAGTTTTGATATGTTGTATTGTCATCTTCATTTGTTTCCAGATATTTTTTTGATTTTTCCTCTGATTTCTTGAATGAGCCACTCTTCATTCAGGAGCATGTTGTTCAATCTCCATAAGTTTGTCTATGTTCTAGAGATTTCTGCATGTTATTCAGTCCCCATGAGTTTGCATATGTTCTAGAGATTCCTGAGTTGTTGGTTTCCAACATCATTGCATTGTTATCAGCGAAGATGCAGGGTATGATTTCCATTATTTTGATTTGCTGAGACTTGCTTTATGGCCTAGTGTGTGGTCAATCCTAGAGTACATTCCATGCACTGCTGAGAAGAATGTATAACCTGCAACTGTAGGATGAAAAGTTCAGTAGATATCTGTTACCTCAATTTGGTCTATAGTGTTGATGAAGTGTATCGTGCTGTCTTCATTATTCTTGTTTCTTGATTTGCTGCATTTAATATTAGGCATTTATGGAGATACTCGTTGGTTTCTTTATTTTTTTCCTGTGATGGCTTTTATCTTTGGACTATGCCTATGTGGATTAGTGGAGTATCTTCTTTTTCAGGGAATACCTAGAGGGGTGTGTGGGGTGTGGCCAGGGAGCTCTGTTCAGCACACCAGGGTGAAGGGAATGTCCAAAGTGATACCAAGGTTGGGTGTGGTAAATCTCCTCCTTCTTAAAAAAAAAAAAAAAAAAAAAAAGAGAGGAGATTTGTTCCACTCTGTTGGCATAGTGTCAGCTCACTACCTCTCCTCAAAGGAGACCAGTGCCTGTGCGCCAGCCCCAGTGGGCATAATATTAGTTCACAGTGCCACAAGAAAAAAGGATCGGTGCAGTTCTTAGTGTAAGCACAGCTTCTGCAGTAGTGACCCTCACCAGGGAATCAGGGGGCCCTGAGTGTATGGAGCCTCCTACAGTGACCTCCCAAAGCCCAGCCACACCCTGAGCCCTGCCACACAGCCACAGTGTTTTCACAGTCCCAGCACACAAGCCTCTCACAGCCAGGAGCACTCAGCCCCCTGTCAGTTTTCCCTGCTGGACTTAGGCATCTCTGCTCAGCTGGATGCTGGGCACCCAGACAGGAGCTGCTACAGCTATTACATATGTCCAAAATGGTGCCTGCTCTCTATTGGGTTGTTACAGGATGCTGGTTGTGGTATGTTTGGGAAGAGAGAAACATAGCCCACTCTTTTCTTCTCTATTTTGGCAGGTACCCTGTCCCTCACAGGACTCCAAGCCAGATTCCCACCAGGCTCTTCCCTCAGCTTTACACCAGTGACGTGGGCTGCTGCAGTCTTGTCTCACCTTACTCCAAAGCTCTCTGCTGCTGGGGTCGTGAGTTGTGTATATCCACATCCTCCAAGTAGGTCCACAATGTCCCTCTAATTTGTATGGAGTTTCTTCTGCCGTTTTTCTCCTAATTCTTCCCTGAGACTGCATTCTCCCCACTTTTTTAAAACTATCTTCTCCAGACTAGAGCAGTAAACTCTCCCAATTCCACCATCTTAATCCAATCCAATAAACATGTTTTTAAAAGACTTGAAGGCTATGCTCTAAGGAAAGGAAAGGGTGATGGCCACCCACCTCTTCCCTGAAGAAATGCTGTGATTTTACCCTGGCAGTATGCATAATTATATATGAACAAATTCCTTAACTTGTCTAGTGTAAGGGTCTAGAATAAAGGACAACCCCAAAGACTAGCTAGCACTTAGACCTTTGTATGTAAACAGCGTTGCTCAATGAAAGGAATTAGTGCTGTTTGGGAAAACAGTTAATTTCAAGACTGGGATAGAGCAAAGATAATATATGCCTGGAACATTTTATGAATGCAGAAATGAGGAAAAGCTATAAAATACAGACAAAATAAAATAATGAGTGCTTGTTGAAATATCTGTATGCACTCTGAAGGGGCTCCTCATAGCCAAAATTCAAACAATTTAAGCAACAAAATACAAAATGACATTATTCTATACATAAGAAACTAATTATTAATTTTTGTATAAAATACAGTAAATATCTACAAGTCTAAACTCATATATAAATAGTTGCACAAATAATCATTTAATGAATAAATAAATATGGACAAAGATGACTCTTGCTTACAGAAGAAAAGAGAAAGTTGCCATTAGGCAGAGAAAATCCACCAGTGGAGCTCAAATTAGTTTGGGGTAAAAGGGACACTTACTTTTGTCACAAATTATATCTCCAAAATGAGGTTTACATGAGGCAAAAGTGTTTTTTTAAAGATTTATTTATTTATTTAAAAAGCTGAGGGAGGGGAACGGGAAGAGGGAGGAGAGAGGGAGGAGAGAGGGAGAGGGAGAGGGAGAGGGAGAGGGAGAGGGAGAGGGAGAGGGAGAGGGAGAGGGAGAGGGAGAGGGAGAGGGAGAGGGAGAGGGAGAGAGGTCTTGCGTCTGCTGGTTTACTCCCCAAATGGCCACAAAGGCCAGGGCTTGACCAGTCCAAAGCCAGGAGTTTCATCCACGTGGGTGCAGGGCCCAAGCTCTTGAGCCATCCTCCTCTGCTTTCCCAGACACATTAGTAGGGAGCTGGATCAGAAGTGGAGCAGCTGGGACTCCAACTGGCACCCATATGGGATGTTGGTGCCACAGACAGTGGCTTAACCTATGTCACAATGCTTGCCCAACAAATAATATTTTTTTGGAAACAGCTTACAACCCTTTAGAAAACCTGGCAAATGGTACTTCACTGAATAGGATGACAAAATGGCCAATAAACTTATGAAAAGTTCTCAACTTAATGAATAATCAGGGAATTTTAAAACAAAATAAAACCAACATGAGATGTTTCTGTTTCTTTTCTCATGCCTTCTCTTTTCTTCTTTCATTCATTTCTCTTTGCTGTTTGAACTAGTCGAAGCTAAAATCACTTCTGGAACAGACTAAGAGTGGTGGATGACGACACAGAGCAAGTTGTGGAAGTCTAAACAGGGCAGGCAGAGCATCCACCTAGGAAGATAGACAACAGGTGTGTTTTGAGCCAAGAGCTATGTAAGGGCTCCCATGCACGCAGGAAGCCCCACATGCAATGTCAGAATCAGGATGACTACAGCATACAGATAGAAATATTTTCCAGTAACTGCAGTCTGAGTCCAAGAGGCTAGAGGGAAGCAGGTACCCATGCAGGGCCATGGCACAGAGTGGGGTTTGTAAAGAGAAAGAGGGGATAAAAACAGTTGGTGTGGGATTTCAGAGTCCAAGCACATGGAGGGCATCTCTTTAGGAGGACTGCAAGGTGCCAGGTACTATGGCCAAGCAACAGAAGGAATCCACCCAGAAATGGTGGTAGTCCATTGAGGGATTTTCGGAGCCCAGCTAAGTTGAAGAGGGTATCAGCATGGAGGGGTGGTGGCTTGGTTCAAGTATCAGGGCCTAAAGAGGGGGTGCTAAGCATCTCTTAATCCAGAAAAAGGGAGAAGTGTGTCTCTGTCACTGGGTGCTGACCTCTGGAGGGGAATAGAGGCTAAAGAAGGCAATCAAGAATGAAGATAGCAAGCATTCGTTATTGGAACAGAGTAGATGGGTTGGGGTGGGGCAGTGCAGCATTGAATGGGGGTTAGGATTTCATGATAGCAGTGTATTAATAACAGTACAGTCAATGCTCATCATTGTTGTAGATATGCAGGAGAAGTCCTTGTGAGAAATTCACCTCTTGGGGATGGTGTTGTGGTAGAGTGGGTTAAGCCGCTGCTTGGGAGGATGGCATCACATATCAAAATGCCAGTTCCTAGTGTGAACTTTGCTGCTCTGCTTCTGATTCAGCTCCCTGATAATGTGCATGGGAAAGCAGCAGCAGATGGCCCAAGTCCTTGGGACACTGTCACCCATGTGGGGAGACCTGGTTGGAGTGCCAGGTTTTGGCCCATGCCAACCCTGCCTGTTGCCATCATTTAGGGAGTGTACCAGAGGTTGGAAGATTCTCTCTCTCTCTCTTTCTCTAATCTGTGTGTGTTACTCAGTCTTTCAAATAAATAAAATAAATAGTAAAAAAAAAAGAAATAAACCCCAAAGTATTCAAAGGTGATTCCCCATCAGGCCAGGAACTTACTCTCTTTTTTTTTTTTTATTTTTTTTAACTTTTATTTAATGAATATAAATTTCCAAAGTACGGCTTATGGATTACAATGGCTTCCCCCCCATAACGTCTCTCCCACCCGCATCCCTCCCCTTTCCCACTCCCTCTCCCCTTCCATTCACATCAAGATTCATTTTCAATTCTCTTTATATACAGAAGATCAGTTTAGCATACATTAAGTAAAGATTTCAACAGTTTGCTCCCACACAAACATAAAGTGAAAAATAATAGATGATTTTTTAAATGATGATGAAATCATATCAGACCTATTGTCGTGTTTAATCCCAGTGAGAGTCAAGTTGGGAATTGATAATTTCTTCTTCTTTTTTTTTTTTTTTTTTTTTTTACAGAAGATCAGTTTAGTATTCATTAAGTAAAGATTTCAACAGTTTGCACCCCCATAGAAACACAAAGCGAAATATACTGTTTGAGTACTCATTGTAGCATTAAGTCTCAATGTACAGCACATTAAGGACAGAGATCCTACATGAGGAGTAAGTGCACAGTGACTCCTGTTGTTGACTTTACAAATTGACACTCCTGTTTATGGCATCAGTAATCTCCCTATGCACCAGTCATGAGTTTCCAAGGCTATGGAAGCCTTTTGAGTTCACCGACTCTTATCTTGTTTAGACAAGGTCATATTCAAAGTGGAGGTTCTCTCCTCCCTTCGGAGAAAGGTACCTCCTTCTTTGAAGACCTGTTCTTTCCACTAGGATCTCACTCACAGAGATCTTTCATTTAGGGTTTGTTGTTGTTGTTGTTGTTGTTGTTGTTGTTGTTTTTTGCCAGAGTGTCTTGGCTTTCCATGCCTGAAATACTCTCATGGGCTTTTCAGCCAGATCTATTGGTTAGTATTAGCAGGTACTAGACTTGTTTATGTGCTTCCTTTGACTCTTAGTCCTTTCATTATGATCAATTGTGAACTGAAATTGATCACTTGGAATAGTGAGATGGCATTGGTACATGCCACCTTGATGGGATTAAATTGGAGTCCCCTGGTATCTTTCTAACTCTACCATTTGGGGCAAGTCAGCTTGAGCATGTCCCAAATTATACATCTCTTCCCTCTCTTATTCCTACTCTTATGTTTAACAGGGATCACATTTCAGTTAAATTTCAACACTTAAGAATAACTGTGCATTAATTACAGAATTAAACCAGTCATATTAAGTAGAACAGACAAAAAAACTACTAAGAGTGATAATGTATTAAGTTGTTCATTAACAGTCAGGGCTATGCTGATCAAGTCACCGTTTCTCATAGTGTCCATTTCACTTCAACAGGTTTCCTTTTTGGTGTTCAGTCAGTTGTCACCGATCAGGGAGAACATATGATATTTGTCCCTTTGGGAGCAACTTACTCTCAAATGGCTCGAGAGGAGATTTCAGAACTTGAAAATAAACTTTTAAAAAAGTTGTCCTGTGGTATAGCAGGTTAAGCCACTGCCTGCCGTGCCAGCATCCCATATGGGTGCCAGTTCAAGACCCAGTTGCTCTACTTCTGATTCAGCTCTCTGCTAATCCACCTGGGAGGTCACCAGAAAATGACCCAATTACCTGGGCTCCTACACTCATGGGTGGGACCTGGAAAAAGCTCCTGGCTCCTGGCTTCAGCCTGGCCCAGCCCTAGCCATTCCCTCCATTTTGGGGTTGGACCAGCAGATGGAACATCTCTCCTTCTTTCTATAACTCTGCCTTTTAAATAAAATAAATAAACTTTTTAAAAAAAGGATAAACTGATAAACTGGTCTATTTCTGCATGGGATACTGTAGAATAATGAATAAAATGCTTTATTGTTATGTAAAATAATATAGATTAATATTGCAATTTACCAAGGGAGATTCAATTTACACAAAACTTAATACTCAGGCAAAACCAGTCTTTTTGTGTGTTCTTTTTTTTTCCAGTGAGAAACTAGGATAATAGTAGTCTTTAGGAAAGAAGGAACAAATGCTTGGCATTGCATAAGAAACAGTAATACTTGTGGTTTAAATGTTCTTTCCCAACTTAATTGATAACCAAATAACTTCGTTACTTTGTACAAATTTACCAAGCTTAAAATGTCTTTATATGTACATAGGTGATATTTCAATAAAATTGGTTTTAAATTTTTATAAATGTACACACATATGTTCATATGCACATATACACTCAAAATTTATATCAGCTTTTTGGTATTTTAAAAGATATTTAACAATACTCAGTGGCTAGTGACTTCATAAGATGCATTTCTTTATTCTACTTTTAAAAGTTTTCTTCTGTTATTTCAGTATTTCTCATTTTCCCAATTTATATCTTGATGATTCCTGTAAGTGGATATTGTGAGGCCTGAATTTAATTTTCATGTTATTTTATTTTCCCTTCACATTATGTATATTTTATTTCTTTAAATATATTTTGGGATTGTAACCAATTGAGATGGATCTTCTAGATTATTAATTCAATGCAAAGGCGTAGGATATTCATGCATAGATTAATAGGTAGTTACTTGAAAAATGAGACAAATATTGGTCTTTCAATGTATAGATGCTATCAAGGTGAACATCAAGGTATTTATTTTATTTTGGATGTCTGCAAATATAATATTACGGGAAATGAAAGAGCTTGTCTAATGTTAATTTCTGAATTCCCCCCCCATAACTTCCCTCCCACCCATAACCAGCCCCTCTCCCGCTCCCTCTCCCCTTCCATTCACATCAAGATTTATTTTCAATTATCTTTATATACAGAAGATCAATTTAGCATATATTAAGTAAAGCTTTCAACAGTTTGCACCTACACAAAAATACAAAGTGTAAAATACTGAGTACTCATTATAGCATTAAATCACAATGTACAGCACATTAAGGACAGAGATCCTACATGAGGAGTAAGTGCACAGTGACTCCTGTTGTTGACTTAACAAATTGACACTCTTGTTTATGGCATCAGTAATCACCCTAGGCTCTTGTCATGAGTTGCCAAGGCTATGGATGCCTTTTGAGTTCGCCAACTCTGATCATATTTAGACAAGGTCATAGTCAAAGTGGAAGTTCTTTCCTCCCTTCAGAGAAAGGTACCTCCTTCTTTGATGACCTGTTCTTTCCACTGGGATCTCACTCACGGAGATCTTTCATTTAGGTCAATTTTTTTTTTTTTCCCAGAGTGTCTTGGCTTTCCATGCCTGAAATACTGTCATGGGCTTTTCAGCCAGATCCGAATGCCTTAAGGGCTGATTCTGAGGCTAGAGTGCTGTTTAGGACATCTGCCCTTCTATGAATCTGCTATGTCTCCGGCTTCCCATGTTGGATCATTCTCTCCCTTTTTTATTCTATCAGTTACTATTTGCAGACACTATTCTTGTTTATGTGATCCCTTTGGTTCTTAGTCCTATCATCATGATCAATTGTGAACAGAAATTGATCACTTGGACTAGTGAGATGGCATTGGTACATGCCACCTTGAAACTTATAAGTTTTTTCTTACTGGTAAAATATACCAACTTGGAGAAACGACTCAAATGTTAAAGAAAATAGCTCTGATTTATTTACTGGCTAAATCTTTCAAAAGAGATTTATTACCCTCCTGAAATTATTCTCCCTTATTTCAGGAAAGCTGAAAGTCATCTATATGAAGTATTAACTTCACATTATATCAGACTATTTCCTGATATCATAGGTGAAGAACTACCAACTGTGTAGTTGTGGAATAGAAATATTTATACTGTTTTAATTCTGCCCCATTCACTAGCACAGACTGTTTCCTGATGTTACTGTCATGGGCAAGTGATGCAGGAAGAGAAACATTGCTGATCTGTGAAATTGGACAATATATTACATCTGTCTTGGTATTTAGACTACAGTAAGTACCAAGTTTAATTGGGTTTATGAAATGACATCTTGTTCAGGGCAAGGATCAGTGTGGAAAAGAAGCTATAATGGATGTTCAATTAAATGCCTAAGTTAAAGCTAAATTACTACACACACGTCACTAATTTCAGAACTACAACTCTGTAATAAATCACAAATTGACCTCTTTGAGATAAATATAGGAAATACCTGGTGTGACATTTTATGGTGTTAATTTTAAAAGCTTAATCTGATTTCTTTCCAATTGTATGTCCACAAAACTTCACTAGGAACTGTGTTTCTCAATATTTCTTGACATTTTTTTCTTAATATGAGTTTATGGATGTCTGCAAATATAATATTATGGGAAATGCAAGAGCTTGTCTAATGTTAGTATCTGAATCTTAGGGCTTGGCTATCATAGCACACATTTTATTATTTTTTAAAATATTTATTTATTTATTTGTTTGAAAGGCAGAGCGACAGTGAGAGAAAGAAGGAGAGACAGAGAGATCTTCTATCTTCTGGTTCACCCCTCAAATGGCCACACTGCCCAGAGATGTGCTAGTCCAAAGCCAGGAGCTAGGAACTTCTTCCAGGTCTCCCATATGGGTGCAGGGGCCCAACTACCTGAGCCGTCTTCCACAGCTTTCTCAGGCACAGCAGATTGGAAGTGGAGGCAGCCAGGATTTAATCCTGTGCCCACATGGGATGCTGGCACAGCAGGCAGCAGTTTTACCCACCAAGCCACAGAGCCAGCCCCTACCCCGGTAGCACATCTGAAGACACAAAAGTCACTTTCTCTGATTACCTGGAAACTGTAGATATGCAAATAAAGACCTCATGGCAGTGGAAGTGCCCTACCAGGTCCAATTTTCATAAAGAAATTTAAACAGCCATCTTCATTTGTAGAGCAGACTGTGTACTCCTGGAATCTATGACTAATGAGCCACTTCTCAGAGAATTGCCTTTCCTAAATAAACAAGGTCTTTTGCACTGACCCAGGAATCTGAGTTGTGGCTCAAAGACTAATTGCGCCAATTCTAAAAAGGGCACATCTACAACAATATGAAAGAATATTCTCTCCATCTCCAAAGTCAGATGCTCATTCAGATGAAATCCAGTTTATTTATCTGGCATATGTTTACTGTTTTCACTTTGCACTGTAAAGGAACAGAAAGACTCGACCTTTTAAGAAGTAAAATAGAAAAATCAGTTCTTTTTACTCTCTCGTCAATATATATAAAAACTCCTTTATGAATGAATTCCAGAACTGAATTTCCCTCTTGGTAATTTGATTTGAAAGAAAATTAGAGCAAATCATTATAAGCAGAATGCTTTCAATTAAGACATAATTAATTAAATGTGCTATTCCAGAATACATTTGGATGTACAATTAGATGGCTGTTTATACTGAATATCTAATTTTACACCTAAATTGCCAGCCCCTCTCCTGGTCTTGAGCTATGTACTCACAAGTGGCAACAAGGCTGGCCTTACCTCAGGTGGACAAGTGTTCCCTGCAGCGATTCTGTGAACAGGTCAGAGTTTCTGTCTATATACATGTCAAAGGCAACAGGTTTGAAGGGACTTCTAATTTTAACCAGAATTTTGTTTGATGTTAAATAAGTGATATTAAATCCTCTTTTGTATTTTTGCAATTAGTAACTCTTTCATATTTTCTTCATATCTGAAGAAAAGCCAATAACCAAAATGTTAAATGTCTAGGAAAGTTATAGGTATTTGAATACTTTACTCAGGAATTATTTAATATTTAATTTCTAATTTTCTTTAAGTTATAGATACAAATGTCTGATACTCATATTTTGCTATTGGTGTTTGTGGGTTAAATATATTCTCAAAGTAACCACAACAGTTTAATTTTATTGTCTCAGAGGTAGAAGAGTTGATTTAGCAAGTTTGTAGCTATGTGTTCATGTTGTTCTAAAATATGAAGGAATTCATTTATATGAGTAAGACAATTCACAGCTTTAGAGATTGGCTGCAGTCAATATTTCCCTTCTATGTGCAAGGTTGTTTCAGGTTTTCTAAATACTTGAAAAATTTGTAAAGTGATTTCAAGGATTCTAAAAAGTGTGTGGTTGTTCTTAAAAGTGAGAAGCTTTTGTTGACTGCCTGCCATGTGCCAGAAGATGCACCCGGTATTCTCATGTGTTGTGTCTACAGCTGTCAGTCCTCAGCCAGTAACCTCTCAACTGCAATGCTGAGGCCAGAAATCCTCGAGGCAGCACACTGTTGTGTGAGTGCTGTTGCACAGGGCATGATGGGAAAGCCCCTTGCCTGAGTTACCGCCCAGTCTGAACTACACCTGTTAGCATTTTAGCCCATTGAGTCAGCCCAATGTGCATCAGAGGACAGAGCAGTCACCTTTTGATTCCTGAAATTTTACCATTAGTGAGTATGCTGCCTAGTTTTCTTCAAGAATTGTGGATACTCTGTGTCAAAGGTAAAACAGGAGGCTAAAGCATATGGGGAAAAACAGATTCAATAAAGAGATTGTCAGTGCTAAAATCCATTTCCTATTGCTAAAAACAGTGGCACACACTGGGTAAGTTATAAAGAATTGTTTTCATTTTGCTCCATGATTCTGGTTCAAAGTGAAGGGAGCATCACATTGCCAGAGGTAGTAAGAGACTTTGCTGCCCCACTCAAGATAACCCATTTACCTTTTAACCTATTCATGAGCACAGGGCCCTAATCACTTCTCCAAGTCCTACGTGGTCCTACCTCATAATACTTCATAATGTGGATGAAATTTCAATGGGGATTTTGAAGTAGATAAACCACAGCAACACCCCAGATGACTTAGGGATGGCTCGGTTTTCCTTTTCTAGTACAATTCTCTGATCCAGTGTGCTATGACTTTTCAAAGTTAACAGAAGCAAGAGAACTACTGGGAAAATTAGATAATGGGAGCTCATTGTTAGCAATCTTTAACTAGGGAGCCCAAAACATGATTCTCAACTTTGACTATTCCTTGGAAACACCTGGGGAATTTTTTTTTTTTAAATTGATGCCTGGGCTCCAGATTATGCTGATTTAATAAAATTATTTATTTACTTATTTTCATTTTGCTTAAAAGGCAGAACATCAGAAACAGAAAGAAACTGACAGCAAGATTTTCCACCTGCTGGTTTACTCCCCGAACGCCTACCAAGGGAGCATAAAACTCAATCTGGATCTCCAATACGGGTGACAGTGGCTCGAAAACTTAAGCCATCATCTGCTGCTTTTCAGGGTGTGCGTTAGTAGGAAGCTGGATTAGAAGCAGAAGAACCAGGACTCGAATACAAGCAGTCTGATTTAGGATGCAGGCATCCCAAGCAGCAACTCAGCTGCTCTGCCAAATGCCCATCCCTATTCTGACACATTAATCACGGTTAACAGCCACTGCTCCAAAGAGTTCAATACAATCAAATGAATGTTTGCCAAGTGCCCACAAGATTTAGGAAGACCCAACACAGAGCAAAAGCGTAGGAAGCACAGTAGCTTCCTGCTTCACCATTCAATTCCAACTCCATGGATTTTCTTACTTCCAGCACCCACCTTTCCCTCAAGCAACCTGTGCAGAGAGCTCTTAGGTAAGCAACTGTTCATTGGCCATGTGAGGGCTGTGGTAAACACTAGAAAGTTTGAGACAGCATAGAATCCTATTTTTAGTACAGAGGTACAGAGAAAAGCAGGTAGAGAAGTGATCCAAGGTCCTAGAAATTGGGCAGCTTTGCAGTGATACATTTGATACTCTGTAAAGATACACAGAAATAAATAAGACTAAAGGACAGAATATTACAAGAGTTTTCTCAGTACCATATGTAATGTTACAGAAAGCAGCCGGGGCTGGCGCTGCGGCTCACTAGGCTAATCCTCCGCCTGCGGCACCGGCACCCTGGGTTCTAGTCCCGGTTGGGGTGCCAGATTCTGTCCCACTTGCTCCTCTTCCAGTCCAGCTCTCTGCTGTGGCCCGGGAGGGCAGCAGAAGATGACCCAAGTGCTTGGGCCCTGCACCCGCATGGGAGACCAGGAGGAAGCACCTGGCTTCTGGCTTTGGATCGGCGTGGCGCCAGTCGTAGCGGCCATTTGGGGAGTGAACCAATGGAAGGAAGACTTTTCTGTCTCTCTCTCTCTCACTGTCTAACTCTGTCTGTCAAAAAAATAAATAAATAAAAGCAAGCAGCCAGGTCACTGAAGTAGATAGAATCACACAACCAAGGTGAGACAAGACAGGAAAAACAAGCATGAGATAAGGAATATGTAAACTGTGTTTATTTTTGACGAATCAGTTCCCTCTAACTGCCCATGAGCCTGAAATCTCAACTTCATCTTTGTGTCTTTACAGGTCTCTTCCTGGAATTGTTGGATGCACTTAATTCTCGTGACATCTTGGGAAGAAGGGGTGTCGGGTTCCACCTACAAGGTAAAGGCTGAAATCCTACCTAGGACACTGCACTGGGCAAATGCCTGTCAAATTTGAATACATGGTTAGCAACCCTGACATCCCTGTTTTAATACACACTGCTGGGCCTCACCCCACTTTCTGCTTCATCAGGTCTGAGCTGGGGCTTAATAATTTGCAGGTCTAGCAAACTGCCAGGTGATACTGATATTGCCGGCTACAGACCACACTTGGAATCATTACCTCAAGGTGTGGACAATGAAATTAGATAGCAGCAATCCATCCTTAATGAGACTGCTAGAGGTGTTGCACTAGCGACTCTTTCACCATTATAATGATAAGAATCCTGTGAGTAAAATATTTTAAAAGAAAAATGTAGTACAGTCCAGAATGTCTGAGAAGAATACATAATTCAGCAGTCTCAAGGAGGAAGAGACAAGAGAGGATGAACAATAATGGAAAGACCATGGGCCTCAGGGACAGGGGTAGCACCTGGATCTGAGATGATCAGGGAGCACTTGAATATTTGAGCCTAAAAGCAAAGCTCAAAGTTTGAAAGCCTAGCAAGTAGAGGGCAATGGTGTTTATGCTAATTAAGCACCGAAAACTATATTTTCCTATTGGGCTGAAATGTGTGCAAGAGATGTGTGCATTGGCTCCCTTGTTTCTAATCATAAATCTTTAATAGATCCAGAAAGGGTCTGATGGTGTCAAGGGGATGATGAGTGGGGATTCCATCTAAGTCTCTGTGGTTAATCAGTTTTAGCTGGTTAGGACCAGTTAGGATAGACCATAACATTTAAATTTGCTGTTTCCTAAACAAGTGCTACTGCAAATGAAAAATCTCCTTTTGATAAAAAAGAAAACCCAGAAGAGGCAATGAGAGTTATGTCTCAAAAGCAATGCTGGAACAGGAATTGACAAAGGATTGAGCAGAGCCCCCTGGCCTGGGAGATTTGTGATATAAGTATTCTGAAATTAGAGATAGTGAGACCCTTGGGGGAATTGTTGATCACATCAGACTGACTTTGGTGAAAGAAAATATTGTGTGTCTAAAAGGATAAATAAAGATATTTCTTCTGTGCAGAATTTAAAACCTGTGACTTCACTTGAAGACTTTGGTGTAGGTGATGACTTCTTGAATAAAACCCCAAAGCACAAGCAACAACAGCGAAACTAGACAAATGGGATTATGCCAAACTCAGAAACTGCACATCAAAGGAAATAAGAGTGAAAAAATATCTGACACAATGGGAAAAATATTTGCAGGCTACTTATCCAACAAAGCATCAAAATTCAGAATGTATCAACAACTCAAAAAAACTCAACAACAAAAAACAGTACAGTTAAGAAATGGGCAAAAGACCTGAATGACAGTTCTCAAAAGAAGAAATACAAATGGCAAGCATTTATATGAAAAAAAATGCTTAATATCACTAGCCATCAAGGAAATGCAAATCAAAGCCCAGAGATATCAGTCACCCCTGTCAGAATGGCTATTTCCCAAAAGACAGAGAGCAACAAATGCTAGCAAGGATGTGGAGAAATGAGAATTTTTATACCCTCTTGGTGGGCATGTTAATTAGTTTACCCACTGTGGAAAGCAGTATGGAAATGTCTTTGAAAACTAGAAATAGTCTTGTTGTATGGTCAGCAATCTCACTACTGGGTATAAACCCAAAAGGCATGAACATATTGTATCAAAAAGATACCTGCACCATCATATTTATAGCAGCGCTGTTCACAGTAGCCAAAATGTGAATCATTCAATATATCAATTATCAGATGGATAAGGAAAATACACACACACACAGGAATATTATTCAGCTGTAAAGAAGGGTGAAATTCTATAAATTGCATCAAAATGATTGCAGCTGGGGACATCATGTTGAAGAAAATAAGATACACAGAAAAACAAATATCACATGTTCTCACTTACATGTGGTAGCTAAATTTTTTTAAATCAATGAAAAAGAAGAAAATACCTGCGTGTATCAGTTTTGCTAGGAATAGTGTTTTGCCAAACTTTAAATTTTTTTGGCAAATAAATTGTGAAGAATCATATATTATAGTTTGAATTATTTTGTGACTTTTAAGATAGTGAAGTGGAACCTCTTTTCATTTGATTATTGTTTATAAGTCTTGCCTATTTTCCTATTTTCCTGCTGAACTCTGGTCTTTTTACTTTGTTGAACTCTATTTAGTGAAACCAATGAGACTTCAACTGTAATGTAAATTAAAAACATGTAATCTCAAAACAAACAAAACAAAAACCTCTTCAGGTCTGTAGTTCTGCCCCGGTGTATTTCATTAAACAAGTTCCCCAACTGTTGAGCATGCGCAGCGTCAGAGATGACACAGCCAATCAGAATCATTCCTAGCAGGGCAATCACTTGATGTTTCGCAGGTGCTGGGAGTCAGTTCTGAAGCTGCTTCATTTTCTTCAGGTCTGATCCTCCAGGCAGCAAGGAGTCCCGTCACCTCCCTGGTGCTCCGGCCTCCTGGGATACCTCTGTCCTCTTGTGCGAGATCCTGGTATTCTTGTGACCTTGCACTCGCAATAACCGTCCTCACGTGGGTTACACTTTACCAAATGTTTCCAGGATTCTGGGCCTTTGGTTTTCTTCATATTCTTGGTTTATTTTTCAATTATATCTATCGCTTTTGAAAGTATACATTTGAAGATATTACGTAGATTAATCCTTCTTTCATTTTTCTTATAAGATTTTGTTTCCTAGTCTGAATTTTGTCCTTTACAATTGTTTCCTATGTTTCTTGCTGGTACACAGTAACCCACTTGCTTGTGTACATTCCTCTTGTACCCAGTTGTTCTTATTCTTGGTTTGGATTTGGTTTTGGATTATGTTGGTTTTTTTTTTTTATGTAATAATGTTACCCATGTATATGTATATTGAGTTTTGTTGCTTGCTTAAAAGTTTAGGCTTATATGTAAATTGCCAGTTGTCTAATTTCCCTGCCTACACCTGCAGTAAAATGTTGACTAGAGAAGGTGAGATGAGGTAGCCTCACCTGTCTACTCAGGAAAGAAATTTTTTAATGTTCTGTGTTAATTATGCTGTATTTTATAGGCTCATTGTGGACCATCTAAATTATAATAAGGAAATTGATTTTTTTACTAGTCTGTTAACAGCTTGTTTTTATGGCTAGATGCTGAATTTTATTAAATGTTTTTTAACACTTAATCCAAAAATCAAAATAAAAGATGTGACTATAGGCTGGCAGGTATAATCACACACACACACAAAATGATGGTTGTATCCCAAGTGGGTGGTAGATTTCAATGTAGTTAGAAAGGATAAATAATCGGGGACCAGTGTTGTGGCATAGGGGTTAAGCTGCTGCCTGAAACACCAGCATTCCATATGGGTACCGGTTCATCTCCTGGCTGGTCCACTTCAGATCCAGCTCCCTGCAAATGTCCTGGGAAAGCAGCAGAAGATGGCCCAGGTGCTTGGGTGTGTGCTGACCACCTGGGGGACCCAGATGAAGCTCTAGCCTCCTGACTTTGGCCTTGGCCCAGCCCTGGCTGTTGCAGCCTCTTGGGGTGTAACCCAGGGATGGAAGATGTGCCTCTCCTTTTCTATCTGTAACTCTGCCTTTCAAATAAATAAATCCCAAAAAAATAAGTACATGGAACTATGTTCAAGAAATTTTTGAGACACATGATGTGACTTTTTACTCTTACATGTACACCTGAAAGTGCACACACACAGTTATCCAGGAATTTTTCCACCTATATATATATATTTTTTGACAGGCAGAGTTAGAGTCAGAGTTATAGACAGTGAGAGAGAGACAGAGAGAAAGGTCTTCCTTCCATTGGTTCAATCCCCAAATGGCTGCTACGGCTGGCGCCGCGCCGATCCAAAGCCAGGAGCCAGGTGCTTCCTCCCAGTCTCCCATGCGGGTGCAGGGACCCAAGCTCTTGAGCCATCCTCCACTGCCCTCCCAGGCCACAGCAGAGAGCTGGACTGGAAGAGGAGCAACCGGGACTAGTATCCAGAGCCCCAACCAGGACTAGAACCCAGGGTGCCGGCACTGCAGGCGGAGGATTAGCCAAGTGAGCCATGGCACCGGCCTCCACCTATATTCTATATGACTATATAGAGGAACTCCATGGTTGAAGTTTCCAGGTCTTCAGATTCAGCTAACCACAGGTTGAAAATATTTTTAAAAACTGTGTGTGTACTGAACATGCATAGAATTTTTCTTGTTTTCATTCACTGAACAGTAGGTATATTCACAAAGCGTCTACATTTTGTTAGTATTGTAAACAATGTAGGGCCAGCATTGTGATGCAGAGGGTTTAGCTGCAGCTTACACAGCTAGTATTGGGTATCTGCTGGTTTGAGTCCAGGTTGCTCCACTTTCAATCCTGCTAATGTGCTTGGAAAAGCAGTGGAAAATGGTCCAAATACTTGGGTCCCTGCCATCCACATGAGCGACCCCGATGGAGTTCCTGGCTCCTGGCTGTGGTCTGGTCCAGCCTCCAGGGTTAATGACATTTGGGGAGTGAACAAACTGATGGAGGATCTCTCTGATCTGCGTCACTCTGCCTTTCAGATAAGTCTTTAATAATGTGGAGGTGAGGAAAGTATAGAGGAGGAGGTTTATAGGTTGTATGTATATACTATACCATTTAATATAAAGATTGGACAACTTTTGAACAACTATCCCCAGGGCATCCTGGAACTTAGCTCCAACAGGTATCAGATGACTATATATATTTTTCCAACTTTATTCAATATTATATCCAGACTGTATGATTTTTACCTGATTCCAAATTTTACAAACTATCTCAAAGGACCATCAAAAATTCAAAGAAAGGGTAAAGGTAAGGGATCCTTTGGAGAGACAGCATTTTTTAAACTTAGAAAAATTCTGCTGCATTTGATAAAGGAAACGATCTTTAGTAAGGTAATTCTGAGCCTCCATATTTAAGCCATTATGAAATGTTTACAGGTGTGCAAATACAGGAAAAAATGGGACCCAAAGATTCCATAGGCATCCAATATATATGAACTGTGTAATCAAGGCCAGTAGCATTTCCCACAGGCAGTTCTGCTAGGTTAGCCTACATACCAAAGCCAATTTACCATGGAAATTTTTTTAACTTAACAGAATTAATTTCTAGAGAAATTAAACAGTTTAAGATAACCAAATACTTTTCTATAAACTGAAAAATACAATCTGTTTTCATGAATTGCAAAAAAAAATAAGAGTAGCCACTTTTTCTTCTAGTCGTGATGAAAATAGTTCTATTACCTGTTAGACTCACAGAGGCCTCCTTGCTGATCCCTCCCTTGGGTTTTGAGAAAGGTTTCGTGAGAAACACTGCATGAGGATGTGAGTGATTATTCTACATTATAAAGAGATTTATTTGAAAGTCAGTGTTACACAGAGAGGGAAAGACAGATCTTACATCTACTGGTTCACTCCCCAGATGGCTGCAATCAATGATCGGCGCTGGGCCAAGCGAAAGCCACAGCTTCTTCCAGGTCTCCCTGATGGGTGGCAGGGGCCCAAACACTTGGGCTGTCTTCCACTGCTTTTTCCAGGCCTTTTGCAGGGAGCCGTATCAGAAGTAAAACAGCTGGGATGTGAACTGGTACAAATGTGGGAGCTGCTCTACCCACCACACCACAAAGGCCAGCCCAATATGTTGACTTTCTAGAAGGTGTCATGGTACAGACAGGGATGGTCAAGACCTCCCTGCCCACACAGCACAATAAAATCCCTTCTCTGCTGTTGTGGGCAATCATCTCAATTCTCCTTCATCCTTCATAGGCTCACTTGATTAACCTGTCAATAGTGTCCTGTTCCATTCAACTGTTTAGAAACTCTTACCATTTTGATCTCTTTAAATGGAGGCTTTGGGCACACAGATGCAAATGATAAAAAAGAAAGGAAGTCAACATATTTATACATACATACATTTATTGCACATTAAAAATGGTAAAATGGTAAACATTTTAAGTTACTCTGGGAAACAGTAAATAATGGTGGTCCACTTGTATTTTCTTCCAGAAATCTCTCCAGTTTGAGAGTACTATGTAATTATTTTCTTATTGAAATACATTATCGATCATCTATTACTTCGCATATATACTGAAGTATCTTTTCTACCACACTGATTGTTTGTCCTGTGTTATATACATACAATATTGAATTAATATTTTCTTTTTAAAGATTTACTTATTTGAAAGGCAGAGTTATACAGAGAGAGAGGAGAAGAGACAGAGGCCTGCTGGCTCAGTTCCTATATAGCTGCAATAGCTGGGGCTGGGGCTGGCCAAAGCCAGGAGCTAGGAGTTTGTTTTGGTTCTCCTACACGAAGGCAGGGGCCCAAGCACTCGGGACATCTTCCGCTGCTTTCCCATGTGCATTAGCAGGGAGCTGGATCTGAAGTGAAGCAGCCTGGACATGACCTGGTGCCCATAAAGGATGCAGACAATACACACAGAGGCTTTAAACCCTGCTCTGCCAGAGTGCTGGTCCCTTAAAATTTTATAGTACCTGAGAAGTCATCATTTTTTTTTCTTGTCTAATCTTTGGTAGTGATAACTGTATTTAATATAACCCTTAAAATTGTTTTCTCTAACTAGAAAAGGCAACTGAGTTTTTTATTGAACTTTATTAAATGTATACATTAATTGAGGTAAATAATAAATGTCATGAAACAGATTCTCCACAGAGATTGTGCATTTTCTCATCTTTGTTTAGATTTTGTTATATCTTTCAAGGTAATCTCATAATTTTCTTCATACAGAACAGTGACTCTTGAACTCTAAAATACCTGGGAAATATTTACACACTTTAAAAAACGCTGATGTCTGGGGTTCACACCCAGAAATTATTTTCTGTCCTAGGTACAATCTGAGAATCAGGACTTTTCAAACTCCAATATAATTGTATTATACAGTCCAGCTTGAAAATGATACAGATCCTGTGCCATTCATTATAAATGTATTAAGTATTTTACAGTTTTTTTCTAAGGTCCTTTTCCAATAATACGTGCTTAGTCACCTTTCAGATCTCTTCTGCATTTGATCTATCTATGTTTCACATTTTTTTTAAGATTTTATTTATTTGAAAGTCAGAGTTACACACAGAGAGGAGAGGCAGAGAGAGAGGTGTTTCATCTGATGGTTCACTCCCCCATGGGCCACAATGGCTGGAGCTGCACTGATCCGAAGCCAGGAGCTTCTTCCGGGTCTACCACATAGATACAGGAGCCCAAGGATTTGGGCCATCTTCTGCTGCTTTCCTAGGCCATAGCAGAGAGCTGGATCAGAAGAGGAGCAGCCAGGACTAGAACCCGTGCCCATATGGGATGCTGGCACTGCAGGCCAGGGTGTTAACCCGCTGTACCACAGTGCCGGCCCCTCACATTTCTTGATTGGCAATTGGTGCTTTCTTAGAAATTCATTTATTCTGTGTTTTCAACTTTCTTTTTGCAGAATTCTACAGCCATTTGTGTATGTGTATGTCTCTGTGTTTTGCTCCAGGTCTCCCACAAGGGTAGCAGGGGCCCAAATACTAGAACTATTTTCTACTGCCTTCCAACGTACATTAGCAAGAAACTGGATCCCAGAGGTAGAATAGATAGGACTCAAACTGGCACATCAATATGGAATGTGTTGCTAGCAGTGGCTTAATCTGCTGTGCGACAACCTTGGCCCCAAATGGTATATATTCTGAATGTTCCTCTCTCCTGCTGGTCCTAATTTTCATTGTCATTTCACTGGAATTCATTTCTGTGTTGACTGATGTACAAGAGCACAACACAAAGAGGTTTTGTTTCTTTAGGCTGCTTTGTCAGGCCTGCCAAGGTACCTGGAGGAAACCCCTTGGATTTTTAGATTTCAAGCACTCTCTGATGCAAATGCATGAAAATCCTCCACTTACACATTCAGCTCCTTCACTTTTGAGAGCTCAGGAAATCTTGTGCCTAGTAGAAGACCCATGTTGATAGGATACTTTGTTAGTTCTCATCTCTGGTCTGTGGCATGATTTTCTTGTGCTCTGCTGCTTTGTCTACCCACAGAGGGGAAATCTTGCCTCTGTACTCTCTGTTGAAGCCTGAATGAAGCCATGAGTGACTTCTGCCCTGTTTTTTACTAGTCCCCAAAGCTACTTGGCTCAGCTGAGCCACACGCTTTCAAGCTGGAATGATGAGGACACTAGTCATATTTTGGATATTATGCCCTCTCCAGTGGTAAGGGAAGAATCCCTGTGGATCATCCTCCACAGCACTTCATTGAATGTCACAACTTGTTTATCATAAGAGAATATTTAGTCTCATCCTTCCCTGATCTATTGTGTCCAAACTCATTCCACAAAGATATTCTCCCCAAATTTATAGGTATCTCTAGTAGGCTTCTCAGACATTTCATCCTCAACTGAGTAGGTGATCTAGTATTTAAGGAAAGAAATAAAACAGATTCAGATATGCAAGAGGTATTTAAGGAAAGAAAGAAAACAGATTCAGATATGCAAGAGATATATTTAAGAAATATGCTTAGTGTGCATTACACTGCATAAATTTAACACTTCAAAAATTTGTTATTATTGATGACAAATCAGTGTCCATGTCAGGGAAAATATTTTATATTTCCACATATTGAAGAGACATGATGAGGTTAATTGGGTAGCTCACTTAAATGCATGTAGTACTGCCTTTGCTTTTTGGGTAGCTTATGACTGATATTAGATGGGTGAAACAATTATATGTAAACTATGTTTT